ATAACCCTGCCCCTCAAAAACCTCTACACCCCGCTACTTGCTGCAATCGGATAGAGCTGCCATTATACACGCAGAGGGGAACCAAATCGATCAATAGAAACCATGTACACCTTCACCATCTACGGAGACACCAGCTCCGTTGTCTCCGCCTCGCGTCATCCATCGTCTCCCTTGAGATTGACAGTTCCTTGGCCGAAGCCGTCCTCAACTCCGACAACCGTCACCTGGTGGACACTCGAATGTTCTGTGTTAATAGCCGGTCTGCCGCTAATCATTGTCGGAATTTATGTTGCTGGTTGTCCTTGGGTCCTCCTCCTCCGGCCTTCTCTTATTTTTTGCTGCGATTTCCTTTCCTTGGCACCTGAACGACGTGAAGGTGCAGATTCATAGATCCGTAACTTTCTTCGTTTTGCTTTTTTCTTCTTTTTTTGATTTTCCTTTTTATTTTAGAAATCAGTTGGGGATTAGAGAGAGGAGACGGCGGCACACCGTCGGGTGTGTATGAGGGAGGTGCACGAGATGTTGTTGCTAGCTGCTAGTTTTTCTCCTTTTCGTTTTGCCATTGTAATACTCCATTACTGTGTAAAATTATAATGTTATTTATTTATTTATTTATTTATTTATTTATTTATTTATTTATTTATTTATTTATTGATACTTATCCAATTCATCTCGTTTAGCTTTAATTTATAGCATCAAGATGATCGATAGATAAAAAGGTGTGACTATGGTTTTATTCAAATAATGGTATTGACAATATATTCTGTTGTTAATAATGAGTGTGTGAAGAAAACAAACAATGTCATTTGTATGTTATTGTCATTATTTTTAACAAATGGTCATTTTTATATCATTAACATTAATACAATATCAGTTTTGGTAGTATTGACATTGTCTCTATTATTACAATGTCATTTTTGTGACATTGACATTATCATTTCATTATTGACTTATTTTCTACCTTTTAATTATGACAGTCATATAATAGTATTGTTAGCATTCTCACAATTGTTTCTTTTTAACAATGTTTACAATAATGTCACATTGACATTGTTTTTAACAATATCATTTTTCTAACATTGACATTGTCACGAAAATTTCATTGACATTGTCGTGACAATGTTATTGACATTAAAATGACACAATGTCATTAACATTGTGTCATTTTAATGTCATTTTTATAACATTGACATCATCACTATATGAAATTGTAACATTTTTTTAACATTGTGCCGTTTTCATACATTTTGACAATATTTGCAATATTGAGAGATTATTGATTTTGTTAACTTATACTACCTCTGTCCCGGAATTATCTCCTTATTTGACTGGACACGGATTTTAAGATAGTGGGAAATGTGTGGTGGAGAGTTGTGCAGAGGAAAGAGAAATGTGTAAAAATGGTTGTGAACCACAAATTCTTTGTCAAAAAAGGAAAGATGAGATAAATTTGGGACGGACCGAAAAGGAAAGAATGAAGATAATTCCGGGACGGAGGGAGTAACAAAATAACATTGACATTTGTAAAATAATGACATTTGATTTGTATACAATGACATCATATTACATTGTCTTAAACAATGACATGTATTACATTGATATGGAGTATTACACTGTAGCAAAAGATAAAGGAGATGTCAATGTTCGTTCTGCTAGTCTCACGATGATGTCTTCTGTTTTATTATGTACTACCTTCGTCTCTTAAAACTTTGTCAAAGTTACCCGACACGGAGAATAATAAAGTAAAAACTGTGTGATTTATGTTTGTGCAGAGGAGAGAGAAATAACAGAAACCACAAAATAATTGATTAAAAGGGAAAGCGGTAAAGTTTTTTGGGACGTCCCAAAAAGGAAAGATGACAAAGTTTTAAGGGACGGAGGGAGTATGACTTTATCCACTACCGATGCAAGAAGATTGGATAGAAAGCACGGTGTAGATCTAAAATTTTTTGAAAATAAAGTGCAAATATTGTAAACTTTGTTAAGATGTAGAAAAACTAACAATGTCATAAAAATGTCACAATATCTAATAACAATGACAATATTATAAATAATGACATTTTAATTATCACAATGTCATTGTCAATACATGTTATGACAATGTCAGTTATAATGAAATTGTAGTAATGACAATGTTACTGCTGATGTTAATGTCTCTCATGACAATGTCATGTTTTTATACAATGTTGTTCTGCGTGAATAATTATGTCAAAATGTAGAAAGAAAAAATATCACAATGTCCAACCTTGTGAATAATTATGTCATTATTCATTTTGATAGTTTATCTTTCATTTAGAATAGAATGATAAGTACGTCATTGTGAGTTTGTGCCTGCTTTTTTTTGCATTATTTTGGGTAGTCAAATTAAATTACATTGCCAAAGTGTATTACATTGCTTATTATAGAGAAATTACAGCACATCTTGACATATCTACGTAGTATATTTTAATATTCTTTTGTCAATGTAAAAGTAATGTCACATTTTTACTCTATTGTCATTATAACAAACCAAAAATAATCACCATTAATAAGAAGTCAAGGACAATGTCATAAGAAGTCAATGACAATGTCATAAGAATGTCAATAACAATGTGATAAGAATGTCAATAATAATGTCATAAGAATGTCAATGACAATGTCGTAAGAAGTCAATGACAATGTCATAAAATGTCAATGACAATGTTATAAGAATGTCAATAAAAAATAATGTCAATGACAATGTCATAAGAATGTCAATAACAATGTCATAAGAATGTCAATGATAATGTCATAAGAATGTCAATGACAATGTCATAAGAATGTCAATGACAATAAAATACATTCCTTATTTCTTTGCTTTCGATTTGTTCGTATGTACAGAGCACTATTCAATAGTGTGATCATTAAAAAGGAGGGGTATAAATAGTAATTAACTTTTAGTTCTTTACCAAAAAGAAAAAGATGATCATCATTTTGGGACATCCCAAAAAGGAAATACAGGACCATCATTTTGGGACGGAGGGAGTACAATAATGTCATTATATGACAAACGTAATTGTTTGAAAGTTTATCTAAAAGGTAAGTAGTAAAATGTAGTGTAACTCCCTAAAATGGAAGTAAAGTTAAACAAAAAAAACTGAAAAAGAAGAAGTAATAATTTTTAACAATAAAACAGCCCACGAGATCTCATAAACAAAAAAAATGCAGAAATTACGAAAATGAAAATTACAAAACAAAATAAAAAGAAAAAGAAGAAGTAAAAGTAAATAGCACATACATCAAGCAAATTTTTACTCTGTTACTCCAATGATCTCCATTACGTGGTATTTTATATGCTTAGTCGATATCTCATATCTAGAACTCAGATCACCAATTGAACAATCTACTTGAATAACAAAATAAGTAAAGTGTGCAAAAAAAACAAAATAAGTAAAAAGAGAAAAACTAAAACAACGGTGATGCACGAAAGAAGTAGGGAAAAAATATATTGTAGCCTCAATCGAAGATGCACAGAACTGGCAGAAGGATCAATTGCAGATCCACGAAGAAGAAGAAGCTTCGCCAGCGACAGAAGCTTGAAAAAGAAGAGAGAAAAAGCAGCGACCGAATTGAAGAGGAGAAGAGAAAGAGAGGAGGGGAAAGAGAAGGAGGAGAAGAAGAAAGATCTATATCATCTTCTCTGTTCTCGGGCGCCGCCTTGCACCTCTTCCTCACCGACTCGCCGTCTATTGTCCCTTTGGTCTTAGGCTCAGGTCTGCCAAACACCACGGCCACTTCCGCGCAATTGGTCTTAGTGTGCCGGTTCTGTTGTTCCGCCAAGAAGCCGCTCCCACTTGTGCCGTATGAAAGAGAAATTAATTATCCTTGACTTTGTCGACGAAGAAGATAAAAGAAATAGGGATTAAGGGTAAATATGGAAGAAACCGGAAAGTAAGTTTTATTTAAGAGTTAAAAAAGTCAAGGTCTTATTTAGTTACATATGGAAACTTAAGCTCCTATTTAGCACCATTTCTCTTTTCACATTTGAAAGTTTTCTTGTAACATGGCCCACCCAAGACTCCAAACCCAATGTGAAACATGAGATGATCACTTGACGGACCAACGGGTACCACGTCCACGCTCACATGTCCATTGATAACCTTCAAATTGCATGTTTGTCAGTCCGCTACTCCGTGTATATAACATCTTTAAACCCTCTCATGAGCCATCGTGGTTGTGGCAATCGACCCTTGCGTTCACCATATTTCAAATATAATGTCATTAAATCCCTCATTATAAGTCAAGGCAAATCGTTGAGACAATTCCCGAAGCAAACTTCAAGAATCTCATTTTGGATATCATTTTTATGAATATTCATCTCTTTTTATATTGTCTTTTGTATAATAGCTTATCTTTTTTATCTTTATTTTCTTTCTTTTCCTTTTGGTGGTGATATATGTATCGATTCATGTTAGTCAACCCCAATATCTATTGGGACTAAGACTTGGATGTTGTTGTTGTATTGAAACTCATAGGAATTGATTATAAATATAACTTACGAATTTTTTATGAAGAAAAAAATAATAAAAGGAAAGTGAATTAAACAGAATAAATCTGATATTCATTAAACGTGCATTATGCTCATTTAGCGGAAGCCACAATTTTCAGTTAAATTACGAAAATGCCACCGATTGTATGATGCTCACTGCACAACTGGTGGTATGATTTAGGGATTATAGACTGCTTATTTAAAAGCACACATGATGCAACGCCGAATTTAACTTTTATCAAATGTGTTGTGTAACCATGTTTGGAAAATAATAGTCGCGTTGTATTGAAAATATTTGCTATAATACAATTTGACACAATATTCAAAGGACAAGTATGAGAGATGATGTGAAATTGTGGAAGAAAAGATGAAGATAGAAAAAACAAAAACAATGAATTCTTTTTCAAAAACAAAACTTACAAAAAACAAAAAGAGTAAGAAATTGAAAGGCACCCTCAAAGGATGGAACAGTAATAACATAAAATTTCGATGTCCCAATTCGAAAGAAAGAAAAAGGGGAGGTATAAAATCGACATGAAATCACAGCCGGGCTGTTAAGATCTTTTCCCTCCCGGCGGGACCGCCACCACCGAGCGATCTCATTTCTGCTCTGCTGCATGCAGGTCTGAGTGAGGCAGGACCACCAAATCGCTCTGTCATTACTCTGTGTCGTTTCCCACGGCATTTAATGAAGCACAGGAACACACAGTGGCTCGCGGAAAGACAAGTCTATCTAACTATAATCACAGTTAGGGGGGATTTATTTCGTTGATTACCACTGAGGGCCCCGCCGGGGTTACTGGCGGATTACGGGGATATAGAGGACAGGGGGTGGGGTATAAACGCCATAAATGCAAGCTCATCTACCTCTAATGTGGTTGGTTTTTCTTGTACGCATCAGTCATCGCGCATATTTAATATCTATAAACATATACGGACATCATATCATTCATATGTATGGGGTTCACAGCTGGTATGGAATGAAACCGCGCTGCGGGCCCGAATTTCCGGAATCTGTGCCGCAGTTAAAGGTTGCGGGATGTGGAACTCAGTGGAAAATTTGTCGGTTCGGTCCACGTCGTTCAGGGAAGAAGGCGACGACGAAGAGGCACTGCGGTGGGCGGCGCTGGAGAGGCTGCCAACTTACGCGCGTGCACGCCGAGGGCTATTCAGGAACATCCTTGGGAATGTCAAGGAGATAGATGTGGACAAGCTGGAAAATGACGAGCGGAAGGTACTTCTCGACCGGCTATTTGACTCAGTGGACGATGATTGGGAGAAGCTCTTCAGCCTCATGCGCCGCCGCTTCGATAGGTTCAGTTCTCATTTCGGTTTCAGCTACTTGTTTCTGATGCAGCCTAAAACTGACATGAGCTTTCTGCATAAAAGCTCCAAGCTCACTGGCTGCTTGGGAACTCCCTTTTCTTCTTCAAATTGATCAATTTCCTTTTATTTCCTTATCTATTCCTTTTCTAATAAATTATGGTGTTAGTTGACTGCTGGAGGAAATGCACATTAAGAATGATGCGATTTCAATCCTGGTCCTAGTTAAGAAAAGTGGCCTAAGTTTATGATGGATCAAATCCTTGCATTGTCTATTGCAATAGAATGTAATTTTTTATTAGCTATTTCTGTAGTCTGAAGAGGAGCAAAAAATATTTTGGATGCAATCACTTATTTGAAATGAAGTTCCGTCCTAGATTCCTCCAATCGAATAAATGCTACATGCCTCTCTGTTTCTCATTGCATTTACATGGAACTGATTGGTAGAATTTTGATATTCTGAATCTCTTATAGGTAACTAGGAAACTTAGTTATCTCTTAAATTCTTGCTTTAGTATATGAGTGTGAATGCCTGTCTATGTGCTTGATCCTTTTAGCTAGTAGTGTTCGCTTACATATTGGCATTCAATGTTGTACATTGGAGCCTGGAAGAGGCTTGCAGGTGTGTTCATATTTTTCTTTTTCTTCTTTGGTCATACAACTATCACTTGGTGTTTGTGTATATTATATGTGTGTAGTAACAGGAATCCCTAATGGGTTTGATTCTTCCTTTGCGTGTTGCAGAGTTGAATTGGACTTCCCAAAGATTGAAGTCAGATTTCATAACCTGAAAGTTGAAACTTTTGTTCATGTTGGTAGTAGAGCATTACCCACCATTCCAAATTTTCTTTTCAACATGACTGAGGTAAAATTTGGTCTTTTCTTGAGGTAGCTTTTACTGTTTCAGCAACTGACTTGTTTCCTTTTCATGTATACAAAACATAAAGGCTCTCTTGCGGATGCTGAAGATATACTCCGCTAAGAGGAAAAAGTTGGTGATATTGGGCAATGTCAGTGGTGTAATTCGACCTTCCAGGTAGGCAGTGATATGGTGAGATTCACATCAAACACAAGACAATTTCTGAAAATTTCAGTATCTGAAAATCTGTTAATGGTATCTTAAGGTTAACTCTTTTACTTGGTCCTCCGAGCTCTGGAAAGACAACATTACTGATGGCTCTTGCTGGACGCCTTAAATCAGACTTGCAGGTATAAGAGTCTGATTGACTCAAGAAGCTATGGTCAAAACTAGAGTGGTCTGCTTATACCTTTTGGATCGGGTTTAACATTTTCACTCATGTAAGCACATCTCACTTATTCATTGGTTTATCTGTAGACAACAGGGAAAATTACATACAATGGACATGGCTTGAATGAGTTTGTTCCTCAAAGGACATCTGCTTATGTGAATCAACAAGACCTGCATGCAGCAGAGATGACAGTTAGGGAAACTCTGGACTTTTCAGCACGCTGTCAGGGTGTTGGTTTCAAACATGGTATATTCTGTAAGACGAATGTTATGTATATGTAACAGGCTAACAGCTTGTTGCTGAAAGCTTGAACCTTGTGACAGATATGCTTATGGAACTTTCAAGAAGAGAAAAGATTGCTGGAATAATACCTGATGAAGATCTTGATATATTCATAAAGGCAAGTATCATCATGATAATGTCTTTTCTATCATTAGTTAATGATTTCAATGTGACACAGATATACAATGATGACTCTTTAGGCATTGGCTTTGGAGGGTAAGGAGACTTGTCTTGCTGCTGAATACATTTTAAAGGTATTTTCAGTGCACTACTGTCTTTTCTATTGCATTTACCAATATGTTTTAAAGCAGCCTTGCACTTTACTACCAAAGATAGCTTTCTCATTCTCTAGATGCAATTCTTTTGTATTTTCATTTGTTCTTGTTACTTTATACAATGTAACAGAGCTCTCAACATACTAAAGTTCGTTCTTCTAGGATTGGCATATCAAAAGGATGGACCCATAATGTGAAATTTTGAAAATCTTCATGGTAGTATGGTACTAGAATTGATAGTCTGATTGTACTAGAAGAGCTCTCAACATGAGGCATGTTTTCTTTGTTAAATTACTATACTTGCAAGTTGCAACTTTTATTAGACATTGCCTCACTGGGCAACCCAACTCTTCATTCCTCACTTTTTTGTTTAATTTCATTTTTTGAATTCGGTAAACCAAACTGAACAGACCCAGCAAGTCCCACTCAAAAGTAGGTATGGGACTTTTTGAATCCGATCTTGTTTGTTTAAATACTCTTAGTATCTTTTTCTCGCAGTTTCCTAAATATATCAATTTTATTTATGCACACTTAATAAAGTATTGCTTGTATTAAAATTTGAATCTTAAATAGTTCAAATTTGCCGCATTGCATGGGACACATAAAGTAGGGCATTAGGACATAGGTGTTAATTTACTAGCTGGTCTCTTATTTCTATGAAAATAAGCCTTCACACCAATCTAGACGTGGTCGGCTAACCACTCTAATTTTCATATCATCTTCCTGAAGTACTTATATTTATCTGACAAAGATTCTAGGTTTGGACTCATGTGCGGACACCCCAGTAGGAGATGAAATGCTGAAAGGAATTTCTGGCGGCCAAAAGAAACGGCTGACAACAGGTAGATAAACTGGGCTTTTGCAGCTTATAGTGGAAACCTATACTTTCATTTGTTCTGACATGAAGTTGGTGGCTATTAAAGGTGAATTATTAGTTGGTCCAGCACGAGTTCTCTTCATGGATGAAATTTCAACTGGGCTTGATAGTTCTACTACTTACCAAATCGTCAGATATCTTAGACATTCAACCCACGCGCTAGATGGAACAACAATCATTTCACTTCTTCAACCTGCTCCAGAAACATATGAGTTATTTGATGACATTATACTCTTGTCTGAAGGACAGATTGTATATCAGGGTCCACGTGAGGATGCACTTGGTTTTTTCTCATATATGGGATTCCACTGTCCAGAGCGCAAAAATGTTGCAGATTTCCTTCAAGAAGTAGCTTTTTACCCATCTACATTTACAATAAGTTATTTTTATTGTTGTGTACTCAAACATTTTTTTCTCAGGTTGTATCGAAGAAGGACCAACAGCAGTACTGGTGTGTGGCTGATCGCCCTTTCCGATACACTCCAGTGGGAACATTTGCTGAAGCTTTTCATTCATATCAGACTGGGAAGAATTTATCTGAAGAGTTGGGCATTCCTTTTGACAGACGGTACAATCATCCAGCAGCATTATCAACTACGAAGTATGGGGCAAACAGGAGAGAACTTCTACGAACAAACTTTGACTGGCAGCTTCTGTTAATGAAAAGGAACTCATTTATCTATGTATTTAAATTTATTCAGGTAAGTTCAAATGCTGTTGGGAATTTAATTATTCCAAGCTCAGCCACAAGTTACTTAACTCTATGCATCACATAGTAATTGTCTTGATATACTTAATACTAGAAATTTTGGCAAAAGGAATACTAAACTAAATTTTGTTTCTCCCTATTTTACAACCCTTCCACACATATGTATGTATGTACGCATGCATGTGTGTGAATGTATGTATGTATTTTTGCGTGTATGCATGCATGTTTGTATGCATTCGTGTGCTATGTATAGAGCCGAAATCAGCCAAAAATTAGTCTTTTTGGGGGGATATACAACAACAACAACATTACCCTAGTACCGCAAAGGCTCCCTGTACTAAAACACAGACAACTTGTTTCCGGATGACTCACGGTGAAAATCGCATCGCAAATTGCATGGACTGGCTTTGCTTCATAACAAAGAAGTGCATACAGTTTAGTGAGCCATTTTGCTTTACTCCATCATATTCCCAAGCCAAAAAATACTGAGTCTTTGACTATTGGAAATGATGGAAAATTTTGGGGATATGCAAACAATACAAAATGATGCACCATTATTAAAGTGCGATTGCACTTTTAGCATGAGCATTAGAGCATGTACACTTTCTGGTGGGACGTGGTCGTAGAAGTTGCACTTAATTCCCGAAGGTTTTAAGCTGTGGTATTTGGGGGAGCAAGGAAGAGAAATGGAGTAGGTATTATGGTGGCACATGATTTTGTTGAGGGGGTGGTTGAAGTCTTTTGGAAGAATGATCGCATCATGAGCATTAAGTTGATAATAGGAGATGAGATTGTGTCCGTGGTAAGTGCCTATGCACCACAAGTGGGATTGGATGCATTTATCACTCAATAATTATGGGAGGATCTTGAGGAGTGGTGCGACGAGTGCCAAGGGAAAGAAGTTGGTCATAGGAGGTGACATCAACGAGCATGTGGGCCTAAGTCATGATGGATTTGAGAGTATCCATGGCGGACATGGTTTTGGCATTAGAAATGAAGCGGGGAAGAACATTCTGGACATATGAGTTAGCTGTGATGAACACTTGGTTCAAGAAAAGAGACTCTCACCTTGTCACCTATAGAAGTGGAGGTAATAGTACCCTTATTGACTACTTTTTAGTACGAACGACTTGGAGAACTAGCTTCACTGATTGTAAGGTTATCCCAGGTGAGAGTGATGTCACTCAGCATAGAATGCTTGTGCTTGATTTTCAAGGTAAAAAGAGGATGCGGGTTAAGGTGCAAGGGAGGCAAAGATAAAGTGGTGGAGGCTTGAGGGGAATCTCCAACAAAGTTTTGCACACAAAATGTTGGAGAAAGATGTATGGTCTATTGATAATGACGCACATGTGGATGATGTGTGGTTATCAATGGAGTTCACCATTAACAAAGTGACGAAAGAGATACTCGGAGAATCTAAAGGATGTCTGCCACCAAAAAAGGACACATCTTGGTGGAATGATGCGGTGAAACAAGCAATAAGGACCAAAGGGAATGCTATAAGAAATTTGGCAAAAATCAGAGCGACGAGAACATAGGAGTACAAGGAGGCTAGAAGAAGAGCAAAGGAAGCTGTGAAGGGAGCCAGAGGAAAAGTGAACAAGGAATTGTATGTAAAATTGGACTCTAAGGAAGGAGAAAAAGATAACTACAGACTTGTTCGCCTTCGTGACCGTAGAACTCAAGATATCGGAAAAATTAAGTGTGGGAAGGATGTCGATCAAAAGGTACTAATGGAGGATGAGGAAATAAAAGAAAGGTGGAGGTCATACTTTGATACCTTGTTCAACGGGAATAAAGTGCAAGGTATTGATGATCTTACTATACCAGAGTGTGGTAAATCGGAGCTTTGTGAGAAGGATTCAAACAACAGATGTTGAAGAGACTATGAGAAAAATGGGGGTGAAGAAAATAGTGGGCTTAAATGGCATACCGATGGAGGCATATAGAAGTTTGGGAGAGAAGGCATTGAGTGCTAACACGTTTCTTCAACATGATTTGGAGAAACAACAAAATGCCAGTGAGTTGGCGGAAGAGTACCCTCATTCCCCTATTTAAAAATAAGGGTGATGTACAAGAATGTGCCAACTAACGAGGGATTAAGCTTATGAGTCACACCATGAAACTTTGGGAGCGAGTGGTTTAGCAAAGACTTCGTAAAAGTGTGAAAATTTCGAAGAATCAATTTGGTTTTATGCCTGGACGTTCAACAACTGAGGTCATTCACCTTCTTAGACAAGTTGTGGAGAAGTATAGAGACACAAAAAAGGATCTGCATTTGGTGTTCATTGACTTGGAAAAGACATGATAGGGTATCTCGAGAAGTCCTTTGGTGGGCCTAACTAGAAAAGGTATATCACGTAAGTATATCGGTATCATCATGGATATGTATGATTCTTGTACTGCCAGTGTCCACACTAGTGTAGGGAGGACCACAGAGTTCCCTATTACTATCAAAGAGCACCAAGGATCTGCTCTGAGTCCTTTCTTATTTGCTATAGTCATGGATGAACTTACGAAGTCAATTCAAGAAGATATACCGTGGTGCATGATGTTTGCCGATGATATTGTATTGATTGGTGAGACGCAATCCGGTGTTAAAGCGAAGTTGGAAGTATGGCGACAAACATTGGAGACCAAGGGCTTCAGACTGAGCCGTAGCAAGACTGAGTATATGGAGTGCAAGTTTGGTGGAGGTAGAAGTAGTATCAACAATGAGATTACTCTTGATGGTAAGGAGATACCTGTGTGATATGTTCCGTTATTTGAGCTCCATAACTCAGAAAGATGGAGAATTAGATGGAGATGTATGGCATAAAATCAGAACTGGGTGGATGAAATGGAAGAGTGCATCTGGATTTCTATGCGATCAACGTATGCCGACTAGATTGAAAGGTAAATTTTATCGAACAACAATTAGACCAGCATTAATGTATGGCGTAGAGTGTTGGGCGGTGAAGCAATGCCACATTCAAAAGATGAATGTGGCAGAGATGCGTATGTTGCATTGGATGTGTGGACATACCAGAAAAGACCGCTTAAGGAATGAGATAATCAGACAAAAGGTGAGAGTAGCACCTATAGAAAATACGATGCAGGAGTCTTGTTTGCGGTGGTTTGGACATGTGCGTAGTGTCAATTGTATTGAATAAAGAAGATCGCCCTCCTCACTTCGATATTTCAAATTGACCTCCATAGGAGTATCCACCGAAGAAGAATCTTGAAGACCAGCTAGGCGAATCAAGTCCTGGGTATATGTGTGTTGATTTAAGAATATACCTGAAGGATCAGTGTGCACCTCCAACCCCAAAAAATACGTAAGAAGACCAAGGTCTTTCATATGAAAAGAAGCCTGAAGATTCTGCTTGAGATGGGCAATCAAACTGGAGTCAGTGCCAGTAATGACAATATCATCCACATACACAAGTAAAAGAACAAGTCCAACTGGAGTCTTACAAAGGAACAAAGAAGAGTCATATTGGCTTTGGGCAAAGAAGAAATGAAGCAGAGTTGACCTGAATTTTTCAAACCATGCCCGCGGAGCCTGTTTTAAGCCATAGAGAGACCGCTTTAACTTACACACAGCGGAAGATGGCGAAGAAAACAAACCCGGAGGAGGAGTCATGTAAATATCCTCTTTGAGATCACCATGAAGAAAAGCATTCTTGACGTCCATCTGGTGAAGCGGCCAGCCTTGAGAGGCGGCAATAGAAATAACTGTACGCATTGTGGTCATCTTCGCCACTGGAGCAAATGTCTCCTCATAGTCCACCCCATATTCTTGCCTGTTTCCAAGAGCAACTAATCGTGCCTTATACCGATCCAGAGTCCCATCAGAGCGGAGCTTAATCGAATAAACCCATTTACAACCAATGGCTTTAACATTAGAGGGGCAAGGAACCACGTCCCATGTATGATTGTCCTGGAGAGCCCGAAGTTCCTCATCCATCGCTTTCCGCCAACATTCATATTTAACAGCCTCGGAAAAGCATATTTAGAAGACAAAGTAGTATTAAAAGAAGTGTGGGGAAAACCATACCGATCAGGAGGACGTGATACTCGGGTAGATCGTCGAGGACCAGATTCAGGAACTGTCTCAGATGGTGGGTCAATCTCAGGAGAAGTGGTCTGAACAGATTCAGATGAAGGGTCAGTCTCGGGAAGGGGCAAAGTCGGTCGACGTCGAGTATACACCATTCCAGGTTTGAACCGTTCAGGCAGAGGAGACAATTCATCAAAACAAGGGATAATACTAATCTCAGGCAATGATTCAACATATGTAGAAAAGAAATATTGATTCTCAAAGAAAACAACATTACGAGATATACGAATTTTGTTAGAACAAGGATCATAACAAACATAACCTTTGTGAGAAATACTATAACCCATAAAGGCACATTTAACAGATTGAGTAGAAAGTTTATGACGTTCGTGAGGAGGTAAATGAACAAAACAAACACAGCCAAAAGTATGCAGATTAAGATAGCTAGGATGCTGATGATACAAACGATAATAAGGAGAATCAAAATCCAAGACCTGAGAGGGCAGTCTATTAATTAAATAAACTGCAGTAGATAAGGCCTCAACCCAGAATTTAGAAGGAACAGAAGACTCAAGCAATAAGGTGCGAACAACGTCCAAGAGATGTCGATTCTTTCGTTCAGCCACCCCATTTTGCTGAGGGGTATAAGGACAAGAGCGCTGAGAGACAATTCCTTTGTGATTTAAGAAATCATGAAACTCGTGGGACATATATTCTCCACCAGAATCAGACCTCAAAATCTTAATACCTGTAGAAAATTGGGTCTCAACATATGCTACGAAGGTCTGAAAAACAGACAAGACCTCAGATTTGGACCGAAGAAAATAGACCCAAGTATACCGACTAAAATCATCGATGAATGTCACAAAATATTTGTATCGAGCATGAGAAATAATAGGAGAAATACCCCATACATCACTATGCACAATATCAAAACATTTTTTAGCACGACTACCATGAGAAGAGAACGAAAGAGTCTTACTCTTACCAAGTTTGCATACAGAACAGTCAAATGACAAATTTTCAGAAACTTGTTCTTTATTGCTTAACAAACCAGAATTTAACATATGAGATAGAACAACAGAGTTTGGATGACCCAAACGTTTGTGCCAAACTTCATTTGGAGTGTTAACAGACACACAAGCCAAAGATAAACAACTAGGAATTGAAAAGTGTAGTGGAAATAGTCTTCCAACTTTAGGCCCCTTCGCGAGTATCTTCCCCGACACCTGATCCTGCACAAGACAACCATCACGAGAAAAATGGACATCACAGTTTTTTTCAACTAACTGGCCAACTGAAATAAGACTATTAGACAGTCCAGGAGATGCATAAACATCTCTGAATGAAGAATTGATATCCCCTACTTCATTAATAGCTAAATGACTCCCATTAGCTACTTGAATATGAGATGAACCATGATATGGACGAACATTGCAAAGCGTATCAGATGAATTGGTCATATGATTGGATGCAGCAGAATCAAGAAGCCAAGACTTATATGAAGTAGTACCATTACCTTGGAGCCCTAAGGCGGAAAAGGCTGACATAATCATCTGCTGAACCATTTCAGGAGTAAGAACAGATGATCCGCCCGTAGAAGAAGAAGCTGAGGACATCACTGGAGCAGAAGAGGTGTTCATTGCAGCCTGATAGGCGGTAGCTTGACGATTCTGAGGCCGAGTGGGACATTCTTTGATAAAGTGACCCTGTTTCTTACAATAGTTGCAAGATTTCTTAGCACAGTTGGCGGCAATATGACCATACTCCTTGCAGCTGAAACATTGAACCTTGCGCATATCCTTACTTTTCCCTTTCCCGTAGGCGACATAGGCTACTGGATTTGGGTTTGAGTCTTGCTGGAATGTAGCCTGTGTAAGAAGACGCTGCTCCTCACGAAGCAATTCTCCAAAACAAACATCCAAAGATGGAGAAGGATCCCGATTCATTAAATTGGAGCGAGTGACCTCAAATTCAGGGCGTAATTTCATCAGGAATTGATTTCTCTTGCTCTGCTCATGAACAGCCTGAACATCAGAGAGATGCAGCAGGTACCTTCGCATAAACCATATCAGAAAATTCTCCCCACAAATTCTGAAAACCAGAGAAATACTCCTGAATGGAGAGATTGCCTTGAGTGTAATTAGCAATCTCATATTCTAACTGAAAACGACGTGCAGTATTATCTTGGTGATAAACCTTCAACAAATACTCCCACATAGTTTTAGCCGACTTATAGGGCCTCAGATTGAGCACAATAAGAGGATCAACAGACCCTAAGATCCAGGACATCACACGTGCATCCTTAACCATCCACTTAGCCAAATCGTTAGTCTCCGTAGGAGCTGGATCACTACCGTCAATATGGCCCCACAATTCTTTTCCCATAACAAATAATTTAAATTGAAATTCCCAAGCAGTATAATTTTTTCCAGTAAAACGAACCCCAAAAGTCTCGCTAGAAGACATGATGAAAAATAAAAATCAGAAATTATAAAACCTGATTAAGAGTAACAGGGCCACCAGCCCAATCCAACAACACCAACCAGCAACCAGCAACCCACCAGAATAGCAACCCAAACAAAGAAAACAAGCCCAGGCAGCAATCAACAATCCACTCAAGTCTAAATAGCAAGCCCAAGCCCAATCCACTCAATCAGCAACCCACCCAGCAAGAATTTCACGCTCGCTGCTACTCACGCCAGAATCAGCCGCGACCTTCACCTGACCTCAGCCGAAAGTCCACGCTCCTCCAGAAATCGCCGACAGCCCCGCCAACTCCTTCAGAAATCGCCGGCAACTCCAAAGTCTCCACGCCGACAGCCTCAAGAAAAAATTCCGGTAAGAGTAACCTTTCTACCCTCAACCGAACTTTTGCTACCCTACCTTCAACAAAAAACTACCGAATAGCAGTTTAGAACCCTCTCCAAAATTATCGACAACTCCCCTGAAGTCACCGACCGCCAAAGAGACCAATTGCTCAGTCCCGACCCAACTCAAAAAACTCGTATCACAACCCTAATTTAGATGATTTAGGCTCTGATACCATGTCAATTGTATTGAATACCTCTCAATGTGAGGGTTCTTCCTATTATATAGAACAATTACAAGAATAAATAAGGCAATTAAAATCTACCTATTAATTACAAGATACTATACAAAAACATACCATAACTAGAGAAACTAATTATGGCTAAATATACAAAATATATATGCTATATCTGATTGACACGTAGAAGACCGAGTGATGCACCTGTTAGATGACTTGAGGGGTGGGGAGAACAGACAGAGAAGAGAGGGAAGGGAAGACCCAAACAGACTTGGATTAGAGGAATCAGAATCGATATGCGTCTTCTTGGGTTGGATGAGAGTATGGCTTTGGAGAGAGCAAAGTGGAGGGCGCACATCTGTGTGGACGATTGATGTCTTTTCTGCATTTCCTCTCTTTTCTTTTATCGTTTATCTTCTTTATCTTTTTATATTCTTATGTTATTTTTATCTTCTAGCTTTTTTATGCTCTTTTATCTTTCTATCTTTTATACCCCTATAGTATGGGTGTGAGAACAAATACACCTCTCTTCTATTTTTTGGAACAAATATATTCCTGAAATATATGTAGAAGTGTATATATACCCCTAAACTTTTTAAAAGGTGCAAAAGTACCCCTCGTTCTTATAAAAGAGCAAATATACCCTAAATTTCAAAAACACTAAAAATAAATTAAAAAATCGAAGTTAAAAAATAAAAAATAAAATAAAAATGCATTGGTGTCCAATTCTCTCTTTTATTGTTTGTATATCACAATTTAATATTGTTAGTATAAAATATTATTTCAAAACTAAACTATATATTTAAGGTTCTTTCGTAAAAAGTGTTAATATATATGTTGCAATGTAAAAAATATATTAATTTTTTACATTCTTTGCACTATAAAACTACATATTTTGCATGATGATAAATAGTCCAAGATTATAAAATAGTGAATTTAACTTTATTAATGTTAAACAAAATCAAAGAATGTTATTTCAAAAAATATAACAATGTGTTCAAAATTTCACAACAAGACTGAATTTAATAATGTAAATTTTAAAGTGCTTCATTTACAACGGAAAAATAATAATTTTGTGATTTATAAAGAGTTAATATTTTAACATAATAATAAATCTTTATTTATAAATTTTGAATTTATAATTTATTTTTGGTGTTTTTTGAAATTTATTTTATATATTTAAATTCCATAGGGGTAAATTTGCTCTTTTATAAGAACATGAGGGGTATTTTTGCACTTTTTAAGAGTTCAGGTTTATATATGCACTTCAACATATACTTCAGGGGTATATTTGTTCCGAAAAATGGAATAAGGGTATATTTGTTTTCACACCTATACTACAAGGGTATATGTGTACCTTTTCCCTATATTTATTTATCTTTATTTTATCTGTTTTATCTTACTTTTCCCCCCTCCGTGTCTGTCTCTTTGTTTGGCGTCGATATCATAGATCGATTCATATTAGCCGACCCCAAATTGTTTTGGGATTAAAGCTTGGATGTTGTTATTGTTGTGGCTGGATGGCGCTTCGATCAGGTATACCTGACCGGAAGATAACTGCGCATACATACATACATACATACATACACACACACACACACACACACACACACACACACACATATATATATATATATATAGATAGATAGATAGATAGATATATGTATATATGTATATATATACACACACATATATGTATATATGTATATACATACACACACATATATGTATATATGTATATACATACACACACACACACACACACACACACACACACACATATATATATATATATATATATATATATATATATATATTCAAAGAATTACTTTATTGGTGAAAAAGAGTACAAAAACATTAAAGAACTTCGTAAAAGAAAGACACAAAAACATTAAAGTTCTCATAAAAAGATTAATAATTAAATACTCCGTATTAGAGAACTTAGAAATTTTAGAGCTGTTTAGCCGGGCTTGATGCCGGGTTTGAACTGTCCTCATCATCGCCTCGTTACGTCTTTTGATTTTTTTGGAAACCACCTTTGTAAATCTCTCTTCACATGACGATGCACTAACATTTGTGTTGTGTGGCGTGTTTTCAAAGAAATAACGTATGCACGTATATATGTATTCATGTGTATATATACTTTTGTGTGTTTAATTTCAACTGTTCTGAGAATTACATATCTAATAGTATGTTTCTTGTTCTCCAATTGTGTGTGCTACCGTCCAGCTTCTTTTGGTTGCATTGATAACCATGAGTGTCTTTTTCCGCACAACCCTGCATCATAACACGATTGATGATGGAGGACTCTTTCTTGGGGCTCTGTACTTTTCAATGGTTATTATTCTTTTCAATGGATTTACTGAGGTTTCGATGCTGGTAGCGAAGCTTCCAGTGCTTTACAAGCATAGAGACTTGCACTTCTATCCATGCTGGGCTTACACTCTTCCTTCTTGGATCTTGAGTATTCCTACATCATTAATAGAATCTGGTTTTTGGGTGGCAGTTACGTATTATGTGGTTGGATATGATCCAAATATTGTAAGGTAACCCCATTTATCAGATCTTGGCAGTAATTTTCTGTAACAGCTTAACTTAACACGCACTGTCTTTTTTATTTATGTGTAGGTTTTTCCGGCAGTTCTTGTTATTTTTCTTTCTTCATCAATTGTCTCTAGCCCTTTTTCGTTTAATGGGTGTGCTTGGTCGCAATATGATTGTTTCAAACACATTTGGATCTTTTGCCATGCTAATTGTAATGGTGCTTGGAGGATACATTGTTTCAAGAGGTAGAACTCAAATCCTCTTGTGATGCATTAAAACACACACACACATGATATCTTAAAATAATTTACAAGCTCATTTCATGATATTTCACTTATTTGAGACAGACAGAATACCTAGGTGGTGGATATGGGGTTTTTGGATTTCACCGCTAATGTATGCTCAGGATGCAGCTTCTGTGAATGAATTTTTAGGTCATTCTTGGGACAAAGTATGAACTTACATTGTCAAGCTCTTTCATTTTATTTGCAGTCTTGAGTTTTCTTTTACTTATTTTAAGCTGTATTACCAATGGTAAACCAAAGTGTAGTTTAATGATTGAGGATATATACTGTATTTGTTATCATGATGGATTTCTTGGTAGAATTTATTGGCTTCATCTTAGCATCTAGAGCAGGAGGTGCTGACTGTTCATTCTTCTTCCTGCAGAGATTTAGCAACAACACTAGCTTGCATCTCGGGGAGGCTGTGTTGAAGGCACGCAATCTGTTCCCACAGAGCTATTGGTACTGGATTGGTCTTGGAGCATTGTTTGGATATACAATTTTGTTCAATTTCTTATTCACATTCTTCTTGGCCTACCTTGACCGTAAGTCATCTTGAAAGTAATTAAAATATTGTGGTGCATAATGAAATAAAAGTTAATGGACATGGTCCTAAACAAGATCATGAATCAGTGTGTCATTAACTACCTTATTTATTTCCTTCCATTTTGTTATAGCACTGGTGAAACATCAAGCTGTTCTTTCTGAGGAAGATGATCAAGACAGCAATGTTGCTAGAAAAGATGAATCAGTTGTTATTCAGTTAAGGGAGTACTTGAAGTTTTCGGGCTCACTGGCTAGTAAGAACACCACATTTTAAATACATGTCTTTCTAGGGCAAATTATACTGTGGGATCGACACAGCTCCATAAGCTGTAACCATCCCTAAACAATGTAAAAGAAATCATGTCTTCTTTCTTTCTTCTTCTTTGCAAGATTCTATTCTTGTTTTCTCATTTTTTTTCTTTTCTTCAAATTATGAAGAATCTAGCCTTGATTTTCTCTTCCTCTACAACTTAAATTACGAAAATTACGAATCAATCCAGGTTTATTCTTCTCCCTAATTCACAATTAAAGTTTTCTTAATCTAAAGCAAAAAATCTTACTTGTATATGACAAGCCTGCAATTCTTGTTCAAGCACTACCTTTTATTTTTCATTTTTTCCATTCGTGTGTTTTACACTTTAATCAAACTAAGTGTGTCATTTTCCATTAGTTACACAAAAATTATAATTACACATCTTTGCATGTATTTGCAGTATTTATAACAACATTTTCACCAAGCATATAACATTGGTCAAATAAATGACATACATTTACACAAAAATATGACCCTTGCATATTTTTCATTCAGTTTTCATTATTTTTAAAATCATTTACACCAATCATATAGCTTTTGTATCAACAAACAATATTATATTTACACAAAATATATCACACTTACATATTTCTGCAAGTAGTTTTTTACATTATTTATAAAATCATTTACACCAAACATATAATTTTTGTATCAATAAACAGTGTTACATTTACAAAGTAATCACATGCTCTTAAAACTCTCATAATGTCATTTACAATGTAAAGTGTCACATTTGCCCCAAACATAAACTATTTATACCAATAGGCACATGATAGTTAAACATGGTTCTTGTGTATATTTATATATATACTATTTAATTTTTATAACAGCATTTACACAAAACATAACATCAATAATACCAAACACTTATTTACAAGCAGTTACACAAAACTTGCCCTCATTTACACTTCGTTTTGGTACAAGGGAGTACTGTGCACACGGCACTTCAGTACCAGGGTATGCGGACTGGTCTTTCTAGTGTTTGTCTTTTTGTTCACTTTATTGGGGAGGGTTCAGGAACTGCAGATGAGACATTTTAATTTTAATATTTGTTGATAGATCATTTCTAACAAAACTCTATACAATTTCCTGCAATTACCTCAGGGAAGAGTTTCAAACAGAAAGGCATGGTTCTTCCTTTTCAACCACTTTCCATGTCTTTCAGCGATATCAATTATTATGTCGATGTGCCCCTGGTACATACATTTCCAAGTTCTGTTCTGAATTGTATTTGGACTCTTCTTCATTGTTTAAAACTGCTTATGCTTTTGTATATATTGTTTTAGGAACTGAAGCAACAGGGCATACTTGAAGACCAATTGCAACTATTGGTCAATGTGACTGGTGCATTTAAGCCTGGTGTGCTCACTGCATTGGTTGGTGTGAGTGGTGCTGGTAAAACCACTCTCATGGATGTGCTAGCTGGCAGAAAAACTGGTGGAACCATTGAAGGGAATATTCATATATCTGGGCACCCCAAAAAGCAAGAAACTTTTGCTAGAGTATCTGGTTACTGTGAGCAGAATGATATCCATTCTCCATGTTTAACGGTTCATGAATCACTACTGTTCTCTGCTTGGCTACGTTTGCCACCAGATGTTGATTTAGAAACTCAGAGGGTAAACAAGAAATAGAAATATGCTGCACCATATGTTTCAAGCACGATTTGACTTTAAGAGATTATTGATATGCTTTCAGGCTTTTGTTGATGAAGTAATGGAGCTTGTGGAGCTAACTCCACTAAGAGGAGCATTGGTTGGTCTACCTGGAGTTGATGGGTTATCGACAGAGCAAAGGAAACGACTCACTATTGCTGTTGAACTTGTGGCCAACCCTTCGGTTGTATTTATGGATGAACCTACATCAGGGCTGGATGCAAGAGCTGCTGCTATTGTGATGAGGACTGTACGTAATATTGTAAACACTGGCCGAACCATTGTTTGCACAATCCATCAACCCAGTATTGATATCTTTGAATCCTTTGATGAGGTCACCTCTCTCTCTGACTCACTAACTCTATCGTCATAAAAATATGTTATTTCTCCTTTTCAGTTTCCTCACGTAGGATGAGTGCTTTTTTATAATTGCATCCAAATACACACACACACACACACACACACACACACACACACACACACACATATATATATATAAACACGTGTATATATGCATGTGTGTGTGCTACTAATTTGCAAGCCCATGTGATGTTGCAGCTTTTGTTAATGAAGCGGGGTGGAGAACTCATTTATGCCGGAGAGCTTGGTCCTAAATCTTGCAAGCTGATTGAGTATCTTGAGGTCATAAAACATACCTGCATGACCTAATTTTAATTTTGAAAACTATTTCTCTTAACGCTAGATTTTTAAAAGTGATTTCAGCTTTTTAATTTGATAATGTAGGCCATTGACGGGGTTCCAAAAATCAGGCCTGGTTATAATCCCGCCACATGGATGCTGGAGGTGACATCATCAATTGAAGAAGCTCGACTTGGTGTTGATTTTGCTGAAATATATCGAAGATCATCTCTATTTCAGTATACATAACTTCTAATACATTATTTACTGATGGGTTTTTCGTCCCATATCGTTTATTCTCACGGATTATCATATTTTTCCCTCATTTCTATGCAGGTGTAATAAAGTTTTGGTTGAAAGGCTGAGTAGACCAAGCCATGATTTGAAGGATTTGAGTTTCCCTACTAAGTATTCTCAATCATATTATAATCAGTTTCTGACCTGCTTGTGGAAGCAAAGTCTGTCTTACTGGCGAAACCCTCAATACACTGCTGTTCGCTTCTTCTATACACTCATTATATCATTAATGTTGGGGTCAATATGTTGGAGATTTGGTTCTCAAAGGTTTGTTTTGCTGACATATCATGACTGGCTTTTTCTGTCACTAATCTAAATTCGCAAAATTCGCTGTAGTCCTTCCACCATGTCACACCTTTATAATTACATTGTTTCTTTTGAGACAGAGAAACGCAGCAGGATATATTTAATGCCATGGGATCCATATATGCTGCAGTACTCTTCATTGGTATCACAAACGCCACTGCTGCTCAACCTGTTGTCTCTGTTGAAAGATTTGTTTCATATAGGGAGAGAGCTGCAGGGATGTATTCTGCACTACCATTCGCGTTTGCTCAGGTTTGGGGTCTCTTTAATTATTCAGACTATAACTCTACTGCAAAAATACCCATCTTATCTCCCTGTTGGATTTTCTCATTAAAGATTTTTTAATTTATTTATGTAAACAAGTAAAGCTTTTATTTCTCTACTGTAACAGGTTGTTATTGAGTTCCCATATGTGTTTGCGCAATCACTAGTCTATTGCACAATATTCTATTCCATGGCAGCCTTTGAATGGTCGCCCTCAAAGTTTCTGTGGTATATATTCTTCATGTATTTTACAATGTTGTACTTCACTTTTTATGGAATGATGACAACTGCCGTCACACCTAATCACAATGTGGCTGCCGTCATTGCCGCTCCTTTCTATATGCTTTGGAACCTTTTCAGCGGATTTATGATTCCTCACAAGGTACGTTAACCCAAACAGCGTAAGTTTCCTTAATTTTGTTTTCAGTCGTTCATTTCAATCTCTTCTCTTTCTCTCTCTGTATGCTAGTAGCTGTCATGCATGATCATTTCATCTCAATCCGCTTCTGTGTTTGGCATACAGAGAATACCAATATGGTGGAGATGGTATTACTGGGCGAATCCAGTTGCGTGGAGTCTTTATGGCATTGTTACTTCCCAGTATAGCGACATCAATAAACTGGTAAAGCTATCAGATGGAATGGGGTCAGTTCCTTTGAAGGATTTAATCCATAGCGTGTTCGGATACAGGCATGACTTCATTGGCATTGCTGGGTTTATGGTTGTCGGCTTTTGCGCTTTATTCACTGTGATTTTTGCATATGCCATTAAATCCTTCAACTTTCAAAAGAGATGATCATTTTCCGGCCACTACAAATGTGTATCCATATTGATCTCATGAATCCATGACACAACTGACCACTTTCGAACAATGCAGTGGGTATATATATGCGCACACACATATATATATATATGTATGTACATACACCCATGTATGTATGTACATACATTAATACACTCATAGATATATTCACAATAGTTATTCAATTATTCAATGGTGTAAGGTGCGGTCGAATAATGCATGTCCAATTTTGGAATTACGATTCCACTTTCGACAGTAATATAAATTAAGAGTATCTTCGATCCTTCGAGGTGCACGGTGCACATGTGACATGAGAGATAGCTACATAAATATTTGAAAATAAATTCTCTTCTTATTTGAATGATTTTGTACAATTTTGGTAATGTTTCTCTGCAATGTCTAGAAGACCGTCTAGATGTTGGCATCGTTGTTGACATTGCAATATTCGGTTTCACAACAAACACAATTTGACGCTCTCAACATCTGTTGTCGGGGTGCCTATAAATTTTTATTGTTAACTCTTCAGTTTATGTTTTGTCATGTACTTTTCATTTTGAACTCTGGGTGTGTACTTTAATCTTCTAATAAATTTGGAAAGTGTTCCCATGTGCTTTCCTCACTTTTAGACCATTTGTAGTGGTTAGGAGTCCAAATTGTTAAATTTGGACTTCGTACATATGAAAACAGTGTTTCGACTCCGTCAATACTGTTTTTCCTTGCATCCGTGCGCCGTCAATAAAATACACTCAACATATTTTTTTACATATCAATTTAGTAAAACAATAATTAATTTATTATAAATAATGTTTTCCGTTTAATATTTTTCCTAAATAATTGTGAAATAAAAAATACACATTTTGATTTAAAAATAAATAAATTTCATTAATTTTTTTTAATGTTTTCAGTTAACAAAAATGAACTTAGTTCATGTAAAGTTTGATTATGAAATATTCAGTTATTTGTGAAGATTCCATGAATTAAAAATTTGTGTTTCATCGTTTTTTATACTGAAGAAAACTTCAACAGTTAAAATTTAAGAATTATTGTTTCATTTTATATATTACATATTGGTGTCATATGAAAGATCATAAAATTTTATGAATTTTGATAGGGGGGTTTTGACACAAATATTACTAAAAAATAGCTAATGGACACAAAAGTGACCTTTTTTCTTAATTTCCAACAATGTGACTAAGAAGCACAATCTTTACTAATTTGCCCTTACTAAATTTCGAGCACCGTGCCAAACTACCAATGCCGCCCAAGACTATCATAATTAACATTTTTTTCTAATTTATTATTCTTTCAATGCAACCGTAAGACTATACGTCTAAAATATTATTTTAATATTTGTTTTTTAATATTTTCTTTATTTTAATATGTTAATATTATTTCTAAATATAAATATTAGGATATAAAAATTGTGTGACAATTATCTCATCCAGCTATCAATATTTCAATTATTATTATTTCTGTGATCACCTTCTCAATTACTACTATCGCTCAATTGATCACCGTCTGAGTTACTATTACCGCTCCATTGATATCATCTCAGTTACTATTACTGCTCTAGTGACATCGTCTCAGTTACCAACGCTTTAGTGACTACTGTTCGAGTTACCATTACCGCTCCAGTGACATCGTCTCAGTTACTATCGCTCTAGTGACTACCGTCCCGGTTACTAGCACTGATGTCACTGGTGCCGCCATCGCCATGTCACTTTCGCCGCCATCGCTCGTGTCACTGCCATCGCCGCCGTCGGTCACCGTCGTCGACCACAGTGACACCGCCATAGTGACACCGCCGCAGTGACAGTGCCGCTGGCATGCACAATTACCGCCGCCGCACCGCCCAATTACCTCTGCCGGCCACCGCCTCCGGCGGCCACCACATCCAGTCAACGTCTGCAACCACTGATGACAACCACCACACCCAAGCCCCTGCGTCACCCAACCCCCTCCCCTGCGTCACCCCAAGCCCTGCCCCACCTAGCCCCTCCCCTACGTCAATCCAGCCCCCTGCCTCACCCAGCCCCCAGCCCCAGCGGCCAGCCCACCTCCATAGCCCCAACAGTGGCAGCCGCACTCGCCCCAACTCAATCCTTCACCGCCCACCGCAGTTGCCCCATAGTTCGAACCCTAGCCGCTCTCACCCAGATCTGAAACCATAGACGCTTCGTCGGTCGCATCTCGATCGGTCGCACACGGCTTGGACCGACGTACCTGGAAGATTGAATAAGGCGGCGGAGATTTAAGTCTGCGATGTTGCCGATGTCAGGGAAAGGGGTGACGACGCGCAGACAGCGATGGCCAGGACAAGGGAGGAGGTGAAGGCGATGGCCAGGACATGGGAGGCGACGGCGATGGCGAGGGTGGCGGAGATCTGAGTCTTCGAGCAATCCCAGGTGCGTAGCAGGGGTTAGAGACGTTCTGGGGCAATATGGTCGGTTCAAACATTTTAAGTCACTTTTATGTCTTTACGGGATTGAGTCTCATTTATGTCTTGCCAAACACCGGAAGTCACGTTTTGGTCATTCTTTCATTTTGATATATATTTTGAAAATATTGGAGAACAAATAAAAAAGTTATACAAATTTCTAAAAAATTGGGATATTATGATGCAACGATGATGTCAGCACGACATCAGATTCACCAAAAGCACCCTTTTCATAAAATTTTACTATTTTTCTTCTTTTTTTTCTTTCTTTTCCCCTTTTTCCACTCCTCTCAACACACCCTCTATATATAACCCCTTCCATCCCCTTTTCCACTTTTAATACCTATTTTAAACTACCACTACACACAATTAGGAATCCAAAAAATTCACATTTAGTCATTTGGACTCCTAATACCTCACCACTCCAAATGGTCTTAGTGACCTCTTCGAAAAAAGTACAAAATCATTCAAATAAAGAGAGAAATAATTTATTTGTTAACATTTATGTGGCTATCTTTCATAACACATATGCACTGTGCACATTGTAGCATTGAATATGCTCTAAGGTTACTATTACACTACATTGTACTACATCCGTTCTGTTGGAAGGTTCTCATAACAAAACGACACATTTATTTAGACAATAATTAAATAAAGTACTTCGAGTATATTTTGAGGAATAATTTTAATAGGTATATATTACAATGTAGTTAGTATTGGTAACTGTGATGTTATAAATGTATTATTTTTAATATTTAATAATTAATTTGTCACTTAAGATTGTTAATTGTTTTCTAAAATGGAAATGAGAAACTTTATACGGGACTCCCAAAAAAGGAAAGTGAGAACCTTCTAATGAGACGAAAGGGGTAATAACTAATAGTCATATTTGTGTAAATAAATTTTATTTTAGTAATATTTTTGTAAAAACCCCATTTAGTATTAGGGCATCCTCATTGGTTGGATTATTATGAGATTAAATTGGTGATACAACCGTTTTTTTAGAGAAGTATCATTCAGTGACATAGATTGTTTAAAAAGATTATTTGCTACAATAATCTTGGATCAAAATATGAATTTGGATTATTCAAAGAGATTATTGAAAAAGTATATGTAATAGAGGTTAATGCAGACAAAAAAACATATTATTTGAAGATTATTTAAAAATAGATTATGATTGAAAGACATAAATGAATTTTGAGATTATTTAAAAGTTATTTACTTAACAATATTTAAATGGAAAAAATCATATAAAAATTGATTTTTTAAATTGATTATTTAAAAAAGTTTCTACTGTCTCATATTACTATGTGGTGATGATGATAATGATGAAATTTTCATTTGGCTTTAATTCTTTTTTTTTAACGGAAACTTGCCTCTATTCATATCATAAGTTTCAGGATCATTACATCAATCAAAGGAAAAACAAACCTGACACCAACTAAACTCCAACAACTACGACTGTAAACCCTATGGCCAGACTTAAAGACGGTCACCCCTGAAAGAGCAAGACGAATCGCTAACCATGCAACGGGCTTGACACATCCATCTTTGTTCCCACAAATCCGAACATACCCAATGACATAAAAGGAGGCTAACTTCCCAAATAAACTGACAAACCTAACAACATAGCCGGTAACAAGAAACCAAATGATAAAATAATAAAAATTAATAGGAAGAGGACGAAACATGAAAAAAACTAAATAAGCAAAACAAGTATCTTGAACCCTAGCACCTCGTTCATCCCCCGGCGGCGGTTCAGGAGGATGTAATGATTGTTGACACAAACAAGGCACATCTCCCGCCCGTCGCTCGATTGATTCTTTGACGTGCAACCTCCGTCTGCCCCGCAATTTCAGCCCCTCTAGCCGCCTCCCTTTCTCCCTCCCTTGGCTCCCGCAACTCCTTCTCCATCGGCCGCCACAACACGTCTAGCGATATTCTTGCGAACAATTCCTTCTCTGCAAACCTAATCGGCGCTCCAAAGGATGACTAAATCTAAACGCCGCACACAAGATGACAAAAATTAGAACCCTTATTCAAGGGAGATGGCCGTAAGTCTATTAGGTCTAAATATGCCACTATCTTTGTCTTCTTAGATCGATACAAGTGCGGTTATTTCATTTGGCTTTAATTGAATATGTTTTTTCTCACCCAAACACGAATCTGATAAAATGAATTAAATTTCGTTACGTTTCTCTGTGTATCCTCTATAGCATATTGACTTGTTTCCTGTTCTCATTGTTGATTGTGCCCAATGAGTTTCTAAAGAAATACAAATAGTAGTCTTTAAAATAAAAGAAATTGTCCTAAATAGAAATCAAAATGCTTGTGAATTTCAAATGAGACTTTACATTTTTATTCCCTAAATTGATGTAATTATGTCACTATACACAGTCACATGGCCTTGAAAATTTGCGGAAAAATGAATTATTTTTTCCTTTTTCATAGTATATTGTATAATAACTTTGTTTTAATTGTTTTGTGAATATAGTTTCAAAGTTGTGCGCAAATTTAAAAAACTTTGAACATAAGCACGTAAAGACATTAATAAAAGTATAATACAATTTTATTTTACTTATTAATTCATACATAGCTTTCAAATATTGTTTATTATTATAAATAAAATTATCAAAGGGTTGAAAATTTGCAAAGCCTGATATATGTAGCTAATTATAATGACTACAAATTCATAATATGATGAGTATACTTAAATATATATAATAAAATATTAATAATATATACAACAATGAGATAAGTAGTAATATTTAATACTATAATATACATACATACATGCATCCATCCATCCATCCATCCATCCATACATACATACATACATACATACATACATACATACATACATACATACATACATACATACATACATGCATGCATGCATACATGCATACATACATACATACATACATACATACATACATACATACATACATACATACATACATACATACGTACGTACGTACGTACGTACATAGACACACACGTACATAGACACACACGTACATACACACACACACGTACGTACACACACACGTACGTACACACAACACACGCACGTACGTACACACGCACGCACGTACACACGCACGCACGTACACACGCACGCACGTACACACGCACGTACACACGCACGCACGTACACACGCACGCACGTACACACGCACGCACGTACACACGCACGCTCGTACACACG